TGCTGTTATAAAATTTTAGCTCACTGTACTCTAGGTTCATGTAAGTTGGATCGTTGCGTAGCAAAAAAAAAACAAATTTAAAGGCCGTCGCTCTAAAATATAAACAAAGACCGCCATGTTATATTTCCCATGACGATGTTTTGATTCGCTTAGCTGTAGCTTTTCCTACAATTCTTCTCTTGTAAGTTCCTGTTACCGTAAATCTAGCCTAATTAATTATAAACTTATAGAAATCTTATGAAATGATTTTTTTGTAGTTGGATGCGTAGCTTTAATGAGTAACGTAAACGTTACCCTTTGTAATCAGCTTGATCCTTTGAAATTTGGACCAACGCGAGCACTTTCTTTTAAACGCCTGCGCCGGGCATACATTTCGATACTGATGTTTCCCAGTGTACGGTAATTAATTCTGATCTACATTTGGTGTGCATATTTAAAGCCAACTTTTTTTTACCTGTGCTCCTGTTGTAGCTGTCACGATACCGATAAATTAGCGTATTTGAAAGTGACGCCGTTTAGTCGGGAATATTCCCATGTAAATTTCGACTTCTTACTTGTACTAGTAACAACAAAATGACTTCATTGATTGTATGTTTATTGAATAAAATTTTCTTCTGTTCTGAAAAAAAAGTCTGTTGTTATTCTTCTTGTCATTTAGAAGTTGATAGTTTTCAGAAATAGGGACGCACTGTGTGGGGGGGGGGGGAAGGGGCGGTACGGAAAAAAACTGTTCGCGAGGAAAAGGTGAATATAAAGAAGTCAAAATCTCGCAGGCATAAATCATTTACAGTATTATTTATGTCCCCTAAGCCTTCAAACTATAGTTGATTCCAAATCGTAAGAATACATCGGTAAAGATTGCATGATACATAACTCTGCTATGCTATAGTGAAGAAGCGGGCTGAGTGGTGGGAGTCAGCCTACGTCACAAGGGTCAAAGGTCGCGAGACCTCACAAAATACTAAAGTATTAGACTGACCACGGAGAAAGTTTCAAATGGTGTAACAGCGCGAATCCGTCATGGACTAATGTAAAACAAGTAAGAATCATATTTTTTTTGTATACTTATTATACCAGAAAAAATAGTTTTGGCCCCCTTTAAATCTGTCACTTCTTTTCTGGTACCATGTATGTTTAGAGATATCACTCAATGTACTTTGCATTTATAGGAAATATGTTATTATTACCCTAATTTTTATATATTCATTTACTTGCACTTTTTATCATATAATCAGTATCTTTGATGCAGTTTATTTGAACCTTACCATCTCCCTCGCGACCCAAATGAACAGTGGTCAATTTGGTCTCGGCTTTCCTTCCCCGTTATTTCGCCCTCCCCGGGTCGAGATCTCTAGCTATTTCGCCCTCCCCGCTCCTATGCTGTTGAGCATATAAAGTAATAGGGAATACTTCAATCAAGGAGGTTAAATATTTCTTGCTTCAACCAAACCCATAATAATATCGTTAGAATTGCTAATCAAATTTGTGTACCTGTCATACCTGCCACAGTGTGGTACGGTGTTAAATAGTAGACTAACTAATTAAGGCAGGAGGATGAGGTGAGATCTCCAATCGCGAGATCGCTGTGACACCGGTCATGAATAACAACGGTTTAAACAAATTAACTATCAAATCCACTAAGTTGTCATTATTTTTAACAATTCTTCGTATCATACTTGATTCTACCCGTTGCTGTTTTATGAAACTTTGGTATCATTCAAAATGTTTACACTTTTTATTACAAAAATGTTACTACATGTAATTATCAGTGTCCAAATCTTAGTGTGCGAGACTAAAATGGATTCCTTCCAGAGGCCATTCTACTCAGTTCACAAGTACCTTGAGGCAATTGAAAGATAATGAGCCAGGTGTGTGACAATTTGTTCCACTCGAAAAAAATGACATTTTGGGCACTATGCTTAATGGACGCCATTTTTGTTGTCGTGTTGAAGAATCTAGAGAATGAAAATCTCTTTCAAAGCGAAGCCGTTTGAAATGTATGATGTAACATTTAGTAATGATCTGTGGGAAAGTACATGTAAGATTCAAGTCGTCAAATTTATCAAAATAAGTATCTTGTGTAGGATAATGAAGTGAGTATCAACATCACAAGTGGTTAAAGTCATAGTGACTAGACACCACGAGAAAAACTAAAAAGAAAGGCGTAACCGGAAATAACCAGCCGTCTATATAATCACGAACGGATTTCTTTTGTAAAGAAGCAACATCATCCCCGTTCAAATGACAAATTATTATTCTTAAAACATTTGGGTGAAGGCATTGGAAATCGTCAGCTTTGATGGATGGGCGGTTACTTACCCACAGTTTGACCTAAAATCTACATTTGTTCCAAAAATGTTGGATTTTCATTTTATCATAAAGTACCAAGTTGTTCCTATGATCAACCTGCGTGATAAGTGTTGCTTCAGTACCATGACAAGCCGCAAGGTGGTTAAAAATCTAATCTTTTTTTAGGTCTCATCAAGACCTACCCACCTACCAAATATACTATACTATAAAGTACCAAGTTGTTCCTATGACCAAACTGCGTGATAACGAATACAACAATAAGATCAAAGTATATTTATAATAAAGATAAGGACTGTAAATGCAACTTTTGTTGGGGTTCGTTTGGATCCAACGAGGCCACATGAAAATTTTCCAGTATAACTTTCACAGCTATAATACTACGTTAATAATTTCATCAGGTTGGTAAACGACTGAATATGACCGACCCTGATGAAGATGACAGACGGTCATCGAAACGTCGGCTCGTGAAAAATAAATGGTTGTGATGAAATAACTTTGCTAGCAATGATACTATTCGGGTAAAGCTCTTTTGAACGTTCATTGACACATATACACACAAACTCATACAATGAGGTTCCTCTGAGCTATCAGAAATGTTGAAATGACACACAAATATACACCAAACGGATGTCGGTCAGATGAGGGTTAACATGAATAAGGTCTAAGATTACATTATCTAAATCAGAAATGTTAGAATGGCACACACAAATATACACCAAACGGACCCGGTCAGTAGGATGAAGGTTAACATGAAAAAGTTCTAACACTTAACATAGAATTATATTCTGAAACTTGATTTAAGTCAGTCACATACTATTGCATTGTATCGTGTATCACCAGAATGTGTAGTTAATTTGATAATCCATTACAATGATGTTCCTTATGTTGTGTCATGAGACTTATGACTGCACATGCATATGGGTTAAGTACCCTGATTTTTAATGTGAGTACATTACAATGATGCAACGTGCCTGTGTTCTGCATGTCTGGATCATGAGATATCCAAATCGGAAGTTTTGCTGCAGTACCATGACAAGCCGCCAGGTGGCCCAAAATCTTATCACTTTGAGGTCTAATCAAGGCCTACATGTACTTACCTACCAAGTATCAAAACAATCCATCAATGCCTTCTTGAGTTATCGTGTTTCCACACGCACACACACACAAAACACAGACACTCGAACGCCTACCTTCTTGGCTAAGGTAATTATGGCCGCCGTCCCCCTCCATTGTACAAGAGAGGCACGGTTCGCGTGCGCAACTCCAAGGTTATACGCCTTTATCTTTCCAGCAACAGTAACGGTCCTCACAGCCAATACATATAGGTCTGTATATTCTCGGCGAAATACAGAACTACTTGAATAGATATTCTAACACTTTCGGCTGTATAAAATGACTACAGAAATGTCTTACCTTGGTAAAAAGGTGAGACGACAATCTCGCGGTGTCGTCAGGCAAAAACAAAGACACGCCCTACACCAAAAAGTTACCAAACAACTTCTGTCATATCATTTAATTCGGACATGAAATATCGCCATGTTTGGCAGATACCCGCCCCGTGTCAACAACACAAAAAGCTTGTGTCGCATGTTCTGAACGTCAAATGTCACTCATACAGTGGGCATTGTGGACAAATACGGCAACCTTACATTTCTTTTCTCTCTTAAGACTGTTGTATGGCCGATATAAAAATGTCAACACATACCCTTTCATGTAATTTCTGAAAAATAGAGCATTTTAAGACAAGCGAAGATGCTTAAAGGGACACGGATTTTCATAAACGAAGACTTTACGGACAGAATCAGAAACTAACTGAAAATGTTGCCAATTTTTGGATGGTTCCAAACTTAGTGTGCGAGACTAAAATTTATTCTCGTCAGAGGTCGTTCTACTAACAGTTCAAAAGTACCTTGAGGCAATTGATCAGTAGTAACCGACCAGGTGTGTATAACATGTCCATCTGCTGGAAAAAAATAGCGCTTGCGTCCTTTTTCGCTGCTTCATGAACGCCGTTTTTGTTGTTATTGTTATGCACAAGAATCTACAGAATGAAGATCTATTTCAAATATAAGCCCTTTGAAATGTATAATAAAATATCCAGCAGTGAGAGTTGATTGAAATTATTTGAAACAATGTGTGAGATGTAAGTTGTCTGATGTGACAAGAATTTATCTTGTTAAGGATAAAGAAGTGAAAATTAACATCGCAGGTGGTTGAACTTATAGTAACTAGCCATAGACACTCTGAAGGAAAAATCAAGAGGCAGTGTGTCACCAGAAATAACCTGTCCCCTCTTAAATTATGAACGGACGTCTATTTCTTGCAAAGAAGCGACGCCATCATCGGTGATTTTTTTAAAAAACCTTTGGAAGAATGGTTTGTGGAGAATTGATGGATAAAATGTAGCTAGTGTGAAATGTCAACACTGTTGACTAATGAACAGATAACGTACTGACATCCTGGGGCATTTTAAAGCAACCTGTTCTCCTGCTTTGATATTCGCGCTTGCGCACATCCGAAACAAATTAGGCGTAACCCAGCAAAGTAATTTTTGTAGGTAGGATTCAGATCAGAATCCACAAAAAGTATTTCTACTCTTCGTAAAAAATATGGGTTCGGTATTGAGAAAGGTATGGAATTTCGTATCATATTTGATATCGGATGATGTGCCTGTGCGTGTTCTGAGTGACATGACCGATGCCATTGCTACAATCAAAAAGCGTACCGAAGACGTGTCCGCCAACGTAGCCACTCTGAGGAAAAAGGTCTGTGATCCATATGATAAGTTTGTAACGAAATCTCAAAGGAAGCGGTTGGGAGACCGTCTGGCAGACATCGGTGCTGCGCTTTTCTTCAAAGAGAAGATTGAATGGCTGCAAGGGGATTTCGGCGGAGAAGGCTTTTCCTACCGAAAGTGTCTCTACGACTGCTGTCTCAAGTACTCGGGATGTAGTTCCAACTTTGCTGAAGAATTAGGGAAGGCTGGGATTATCCCTATCCTGCTTCAAGACCTTCAAGAAGTCGAGAAGACTGGGAACACCAAACGGGTCAGGGCAAATAATTTTTTTTTCTCTGGTCACTACGCTATCAACAAAAAGCATACATCTTAGTGAACTTTATCGAAAACACATAAGTACCCTAAGTAAAATTTCATGTAAAATATATACATTAGGTATCTAATGGTTATGTATAGAGTGATGATAAAAACTAGTTCCCACAGCATATTTGGGCAATTTTTGTTACTCCGTGAAGGAGGACAGGACCTCCGGATGGAGTGTTGTGAGTAGCCGTTTTTTTCATGTTTGCAGTCAAAGCACTGGGTTCTCTTTGTGTAATCGGCATGCACTTTTATACGCCGTCTGCGGGCATGCCCGTGATGATGCACGAATGTGTATTTTTGCCGTTGCTGCTGTCGCGGTCAATGTAATATTTCAAATGCACCCCTATAATTTGGAGGCATATTGGAATGGTCCAGAAAAACCCGTTGAGGCCGCACAACACAGTGGGCGAACCCCGTCAAAAGTAGTCCGGGCACAAAGTAGTGCTGCACAATACTAGAGAAAAGTGCAGGGATTGTTCTTTGCATGGCATCGAGATAGAACCTGTGGTAAATGTTAGAGGAATACGTCCGTTTTGAGACTGTAAAAGTTGAATTATGGTGCGTATTCAGTCGGCGTAGATTTGCGCTTGGATACTTGTCCCGCCTAGCACTGTGCGTCGGCTGCAGTTCCATGACCTCCGCAGTGGCGCTAATAAAAGAGGGCATGAGAAGAGAACTAGCCGGAAAATCTAAGCTCATTTTCACATATTTTGTACACTATACCCTCAAATTAAACATATCAAAATTCTTAATCTTGCTTGTGCATCCTACTATGATTTTCAGTGAGTCGAAGTGAGTCACTTTGGGGTCCTTAACTATGGAAATCCCCATAGGGCTAATACTGTGTTGTGCCGCCTTGAACCCCCACGGGAATTAATCAACCGTGTGAAATTCGGTGAAATTTGCTTAGTATATATGGTACTGACGTCGGTCCAAGTAAAATATACCAGTTTATTTCACCGTCAGACCTCCGTTGCCATGGCAACGGCCACTAGGACCGTCCCATATGCTTTACTATGGGAGTTCCCCACTGGCCCGAGAACCCCCTTTCTGCCGTAAAAACGGCTAACACTAACTACAAATCACTCAGAACGTGAGAAGATACAACAATGATGCCCGCTAGCCAGAAAAAGTCGGCTGGAATACAAAATTTGACCTGATAAGAAGACCATTAAATGGCCCGTCATTAGGGCCTTGTACGGGACCTAGCCCTACGACAGGTGCCGAAGTGCAAAGTTGCCGAAATCTCAGCAACCGTTTGGATTTGTATAATAAAATTTGGCCTAAAGGTCTTAACCTTTTATCAAACCAAATCATGTTCTATCTGACGTTATTCGAACCTAACGTTCGTTCCATCTGGGGTCACCCGCGGACAAAAACAGTAATTCCGCGATTTTAAGCCGTTTTTCCATGAATACTCGTACCTCCTAACAGACAATAAACACCCTTTTCTGGACAGTACATCTATGCCGCCATTTTGTAGTGGTTATGCATCATATAACGAAGCTACTGCAGTTGTCGTGGGTGACATTGAGGATCGTAATTCTTGTTTTTACGGAAGCAAGTCAACAAGTTACCAAGTTCACACGGCGTGTCATGCATGCAAACATGGTATTTCCATTGTAACAAAACCACATTCATTTCACCTCAAAATCGTTTTAGATTTTTTTTTAGACTTCTTATACAGATTATTATTCAAATCAACAAAATCATACAAAAGCAGGGAATGCTGCATGCATCCCTGAATTGTGTAACTGATTTTTACAATAAGTTAAAAAACAAGACAGGACAGGTACACAAAAAAAAAACACACTACATGTATATACAAATATGTACAAACACCATTCCCTCTGCTATATGCATGCAAATTAAAGATTTAGATTAATTGCAGATTAAAGACAAAAGAGAACCACAGTCTGTGTCGGACGTCTAGGGCATGTCGGGCCTTATCCATCTTAAAATATTCTGCAATAGACGTGGGTGGGAGGAGGTTTAGCTTATTCCTGACAAACAGGGCACCGTAGACAACCATCTATGCACTTCGTCGGAAGCAGGAACTGGACGTCTTTCTGTCTATTAGATAACAGAATGAGTTTCAAGAATGTATTCTTCCAATGACCTTTTTAGAATGAGTTCCTTCTGTGGCCCCCATATTATGTTATGGCCCTGTTCAACATACTTTCACACACAAATAAATCACCCTAGGCCTCTCATAAATGCATTCTAGTCCAAAATCAAATTCATAAATATAACAAGAGTTCCACGATCTCATACCTTCGCCAAATGATGTTAACCCTTGCGGTTGACGAATTATACAATTTCAATAATTGATTTTGCAAATTAGAGCCTCATTTGCATGGATTATATCAGTTGATCATATTCTCTACACAATCATTCGTAGCGATGGGAAGATGACAGACTCGAGACGGGATTCGACCGGTTTCGACTTTAATTCAGTCTTTATCAATATTCTCTACACAATGACAGCCTTACGTGTATGTTAACAAAAAGGCTGTTCTAGCACTTCCTCATAAATTATGCAAATGAGGTCATGATTTGAATAAATTATGTTTATTGATGTTCGCCTTCACGTAACTTCCAAATGTGCCAAGTATGACATTCCCAGCAGTTACAACTATGAGATTATAAAGATTTCCATTAATCATGCAAATTAGGTCTTCATTTACATAATCTATATCCTCAGTTTTTTTTCGTTCTCAATTACATGTCACAAGTGTTTCATAGTCCTATTATTGAACAAAGCAGATTTATAGAACTTCCTTATTAATTATGCAAATTAGCCCCTGATTTGCATAATTGTCATTTGATTATGTCAAGCATTACTTCAGGTACCCACATACCAAAAATCACGAAAATCCGTCAACCAGTTCTTGAGTTATTCTCCTTCGAACATTTTTCAACAAATGCTCCTGCAGTTCCAGAACAAGCCGTTAGGGGGCCCAAACTCATGTCACTTCTTTTCTACCCCAAGAGCTATCTACCAACCAAAATTCGTGACCCTAGCATGTCCAGATCGCGAGATATCAAAACCGGAAGTTCTGTTGCAGTACCAACAAAAGCCGCAGAATCTAACCATTTCTAGGTCTCATCAAGACCTACCCACCTACCAAGTTTCATGACAATGCATATTAAGCTTCTTGAGTTATGCTGTTCACAAACGGACAAACGGACAAACGCTACTGAAAACATAACCTTTTTGGCGAAGGTAATAACACCCCTATTTAAGAACATACAAAAATGTATTTTTACACTTCTATAGTACTTATCTGATCACCCCCGTTCAAAACTCAATTTAGAAATGTAGCATACGTGTTCATGAACGTGTTTGATAGCAGCTATGTAAAAACTGCGCCAGGCATTATGCCAAACTTTTATAAATGACCTAGATGATCATAGGGAACAATTTCAACGAAATGGCAATTGCCTTAAGGGGCACACCCCAGTTTATTTGGTGTATTTTATTCGAAGCTGCACACCCTCAAATCTAGCGACCGTCTCTGCGCGGGAATAATTCGGAAGTAGAATAACTGTATATGGGACAAAAGGATCTCTTCAGCTACCAGACCATTTGAGTTTTTTTTCTTCAACCTTTTTAAGTTTGGTAAAATCAATGGAAAAAACATTATTTTGACTCCAAAATTTATGCACAAAATTGGGAATTTTTGCGTAGGATAATCCCATAGAAAAAGATTTCCGGCAGAAATGACTGATGCTGGCAGAAAGACCCAAACCTTGGCTATACCCTAGTAAATTTTAAGAAAATTCTAGTTCTAAAATTTTTTAAACCGTCTATGGCGGGAGGGGTTGCAAATCCACTTCTAGGAAGGCGCAGAGCGAAATCTAGGTCAAACGGGCGGATTACACTTGGTGCACAAGGATTCGCTGATGTAAGGTTCGGAGCCAAAAGAAATTTTCACTCCAAAATCAAATTTCTTACACTCTTCAGCCATGTTAATGTTTAATGATATTTCTTGGCAATGTATGAGACATATCACCTCAAACTTGGACCCTCATCGATCAAAACCCTTAAGTCACTTTTTACAGCACACTATCCAGCACCCCTGTCGCGGAAAAACTGGGGTGTGCACCGTTAACTAGAACGCCACACCATGCCACTATTTTGGGCTAACCGTAAAACATTTGAAAATAAACAAACTAGTATCGAAGGGAAAATTTCGTTGAAATAAAATAGAATTATTGTCTTTACATACATTCAATGGTGATTTTTTGTGCTAGCTAAATGGATGATTTTTTTGGATTTCGTTAAAAAGTCGATAATTTTCGGGATTTCGCAGCGCCATATTCCATAGCCAATCACCGAGCAAACCTGGCTACACATATTACATATATATACATATTTATATTTTTTCGACGACTAGGAATAAGATGAAAAATCGTGCTTTAGGGATTTTTTTTTAATTTCCAACTTTAAGTATAGTTTTTGTCGACAAATAGGTGAAAAAAAAAATCGAATTTGTTGGCTTTTTTCGCACTCAATTACCCATAATTCAAAATCGAGCGCATTTTTCAAAAATCCCTAAAGCACGATTGTCGGGAAAGCCGTAAATGGGGTACGTTTGTTTCTCCATGCTTCCAGGTTTGAACGAGTTTTGCAGACATGTCATATCGCCCGAAAGTGTGCATTGTGATATTCATACAGGTGTAAAGAATCATTACAGTATTCAAGGTCACCCAAGGATAAGACAGTAGCTTCACTACATGTTACATGTCCACAAAAAAATGATAGCGGACATGTACTGTCCTGGAAACTGTTTGTATCTATAGAAAAGTTTTTTTTTTATCTGTTGCGAGTCACTCAGGCAAAAGGGCTTGTTTTGCCGCTTTATTGCAAATGACCGCAGGTGACCCCGAAATGGAACGCGGGTTCGATTCGAATTCCCCAGATCGAACACGATCGAACACAGTTCGGGTTCTATGACATGTGGGAACTTTGCAGCCCACACCGTGAGTGCAGATGATCACATTATCTCAATAATGTCAAATTAGTAACTGCACCTGCAATCAGAGCCACACCTGTAATTACCAGGCTCCTGACCCTGGACTCCATTCTTAGCATGGTCACACGCACACTAATCCTGTCATGCATATAAAATGCTGCATTGGTTCTATCTGAATTCCATTCCGCTTAGTCACACCCTATACAGTAAATTTTGATCTAAAAGCAATCCAAACTCATACATGTGTATTGGAAAGTTGTTAATTAATATCTGTTGCATGTTGGTATATATTTAGGCACATCCATTCCAAATCATTTAGGTGTAATGCTGGGTACAGTTTTTTTTTTTTATAAAGGAATAAATGAAAGACCTTTATTGTACGTTTGTGCTCTAATCAAGCTAAGTACAGGTCATGGGTAAACAGTGAAAAGAATACAGTAATGACACTTACATACTATATAAACTAATGTGATCTACTATTTACAGGTTCAGCTTCTTCTCGCTTCTTGACGCAGTTAAAGATGTACGAACATATTGTGCTAATGATACATGGTTTGTTAAGTTTCATGAGGAATTCGAATTTTTCTATTCTATCTAAATGTCTAAAGCTTGGGAACTTATCTATTACATAAGTATAGAGGGAACCCCTCTCATTTCTATATAATGTGCAGTCAACTACAAAATGGCATTCATCTTCAATCTAGATTACAAAATTGGCAGATCCTTTGTTGTAGAGGAATGTGGTTGTGTCTTTCCTTTTCTATGTGGAGTTTGTGTGAACTTATCCGGAGTTTTGTGATGGCTTTTCTGTGTCGAATGTTTGTAATTCCCAGATATTTTTCCTCGTGGTAAGTATTTTTTAGTAATCTATATGTTCGTAATTTGTTGTTGTTACGAATTTCTGCTGTAAAAGTTTGGAAATACATGTCCTTTAAACGTTGATCAAGGGATGGAATAATTTGTGAAGAATTCAAGACATAGGACATCGGCGAATTCCATACGTAGGCAAAACCACACTAGCGTCTTGCGGACTCCCGAAGCCCAGCATTTAGTGCCGGATGCATCAAGTTCAAGTTGACACAATAGGGCGTCTGCTGATTCCCAAAAGAAATTAAAAGATTTTTTTTTTAAATCCTGTATAAAAATAAATCTGGGGGAAATTGCCCACTGTATCTTAATACCAAATTTTAGGCCATCTATAGCCCTTAAACCATACACACCTTCCATATACATACGTTAGTAACCGTCCAAAAAGACGCACATACCCAAGCTCGAACTCTGCATCAAGTCAATTGATACTAATTAATGCTTCACAATGGAAATGTACACTATATTATTATGTTTAACTAGCATATGTGTATTTACAGATCCACAAACAGATATTAGACAATTCCCTGGGTATTATGTACAACATTTCAAGAATGGCATCAAGCACCAGACCCTTTTTCAAAGAGAGCGGTGCAATAGATGTCCTCAAGCCTTATCTGAAGGCGGAGAAGAAACCGAAGGTTAGGATTTGGGCTATCCTCATACTGGCGTATGTAATCGGTAAGTATTGAACTATGCATATTAAACATACTTAAAGTTCAAAATGAGAAGCAGAAATCACATTTTAGATACCACGGCGGTCAGTTGCTAGGGTAATTTTCCATTTTAAGGAAGGGTATCAGGTTAAGCTGGAGTCACATTTCAAACAGGGCCTGCGCGGCATGGTCCCGGTGTAGACGCCGGCCGGCGTCATAACGCCGAGCGTGCGCCGGCTGGCAGGGTCACAATTGTCGGGGTCTGGTTGTGCTGGCGCTGAGGTGGCTTCGAATATATTTAAAATTCACAGCCTTTGGTTCCTTTGACGGCCGGTTTTCGTTAGGGACCTGTCCGATGCCCGGTCAGTCTCCCGTCTTGACCCCCGGTCAGCCTCCCGTCTTGACCAGTGCGGGGTGAGGTAGGGTGCTGACCGGCTCTTACAGTCCAGCCGGGCAGCTGTTGGTTCCCTGACGGGGTCCACAGGTGATCCTGGTGGGTCCCTGTTGCATTCCAAAATGTGGTCTATTCCAAAACATGATTTTGAATAAAATTTTGAAAACAGTCCCTGTCGTCTTATTTTTGAGGTGGTATATATTAATATGAAATTGTTGTATGTTAATTGTTGTATGTAAATTACAAATACCTGCCGGAGGACTAATTGCAGGTACAAACAACATGTATGAAAAATGAAAATACAATGGTTTGAGTAAAAAATTTATACTATACATTATACAACATGCATTGTACTAAGTCCTAAAACGAATGAATGATTACAATGTAAACATATACATTAATAAGTGTATTATTATGTTGAGACCTAATAACTTTGTTTTTCGGTTTCAGACGAGAAAGAAAATCTGGAAATCGTTGCGAACCCCGATGTCATCCTTTTCCTCGTCGAGATGTTTAAAGATGCTGTAGATGATGAGACGAGAGTGGTCCATAGATTTACCGCAACAGAACTGGCCATGGCGGTTGAAAGGCTGGCGGTGAACGACACTAGCGAAGACAACAATAAGGTAACATGACTTTTTAAAGGATTCTGGAATCAGTAACTTGCAGTGTAAATGAACACCCGCCAGTCATTTAAAGCCGCCAAACTTTGTTTTCGGCTTTAGCTTGTCAAAATAACGTCATTGTGTTATGCTGACTTTAATTTAACGTTTTCTAGTCGTATTTGTACCGCATGAACACGGATATTGACTTCATTCTGGTGACAAGTCCATTCCAAGTCACCAAAAGGGTTGCTATTGTCATTATTCAGATATGCCTTCAATTCTTTGTGATTGGTCGTTTGAGAAATTTCACTATTCGGAACATCTTTTCAATTCTCTAAATATTTCACAGGTTATGTAAACTTTTTATGTGGAATATTATATTTCCAATATTTTTCTAAATATTTGTAGCACCATTGTACTTTTTTTACCATTAGTGCCTTTGTGTCATACATGTGATGGCTGATCGCGAAAGAATCACTAGATAGTATCCAGCTGTGAAATCTAAATATCTGAAGACGCAGATAGATAAGCAACAATTTCTATGGGGGCCACACCCGACAAATACTACTTGATTTTTTCTTAACTGTTTGTAAAGGTAATGAAAGTTTATCGTAGAGATATTTTAGCAGCTACTTCTAAAATGTTTGAAAAATATATAGTAAATAGATCCCAACATAGTCAAATCTTCATTTCGAATTAATGGAATACTTAGAACAAATGTGACTAAATATCCTTTTATTCCACATAATTCAAAATTATTACAATTATTATCTAGAACTCAGCTGTTGTCTTGGAACGGAATGATTTATATGAAAAATATGTTTCAAGAACATTAAAAGTTAATATGTTTTTACCAACCATTCTGGTGTTCACGATCAGTTAACACTGGTGGCGAAAGGTGTTCTCCCTCCCTTGATCCAACTGATGACTGAAGGACATGAAGAGGAGCAGATTCATGCTATCAAGGCCATCTGCCAACTCGCCTTCCATCCGACCAACAGAGAGATGATCGCTGGGCTCAAGACGATCCCACGGTTGAGGGAATTGGAACAAAGCAAGCACCGTGGTCATCCGATTGCAAAAGCCGCTCGTGGGGCTCTGTGGGTGCTACAGGATGCGGAAACCCGAAAACAGAAGGGTACTAAAAGTCCCCATTGTGCTATTGGACATGATATGATAACTGGCCAATCTACATCAGTTAATGTATCAATAAATGACAATGCCTAACCGGCTTGCGCTAGAACCAGAAAACGTAGTGACTAGGAAAAGTTTTTCCTAATCTATGTTTGGCAACAATTTCATATCAGTGATTTAAGTTGATAATTTCCTAAGGGTACAATGTCGGTGACATGGCAAGACTCGAACCCGGGACCTCTTCATTCGAAACCGAACATCTTGCCGTTCCGCCACACAACCCACACAACCCCTCTGTCTATAAGCACGACCAAAAAGCCTGATTTGAAAAGTTTTAACATGTTGCCAATTACTATGACATCTGTAAATTCTAAGAGTAAACGTTATAACATACCGTTATGACGTATATCTTGTCGTTCTCTCCTCATCATAGTTGATAATCAAGACGCCGGAAAAACTGACGAAACCAAGAGAGGTAGCCGTGTTGGACACATCATGTTGAGTTACCAATGGGACCACCAGGAGGTCGTCAAGAAGGTAGTTATGCAATATATCTTATTTAATCGTAATGGTTCAAATGTTGTTTGTAAGAAATACCTTCACTTAATATGTACTATGCACAAGTCATAAGTAACCGAAGGCTCCCATTATAAGAAAGCAAATAAGACAGCACGACTGGGGTCGTGTGGCTCAACGGCAGAGTACGCGACTCGGAATCAAGAGGTCCCGGGTTCGAGTCCTGACATGCCACCGATCTTGTGCCCTTGGGAAAGGCACTTAACACGAATTTCCCCACTAGACTCAAGTGAAAATGAGTATTGTCTGTCCAGTATTCGTTTCTATGTACGGGACACAGCATCAGCAACAGCTGCCTCTGTTCCGCGTGTATTGAATTGTTGCAATTTCAATAAAATCAAAAATCAAATTATAGATAATTACATATGCTGGTCCCGTATAATTACGCTGGGTGCTGTCTCGGAATGTTGTTACTAGTGTTAACAATTTAAGTCACTTGCAAAACCCGGGAGAAAGTTTGCATCCCTTTAACGTTTAATGTGACAGGTGTGTTCACAAAAAAAGGAATCCTAAATTTACTTGCCTTATGTTCTTTACCGCTATGAGGTTCCACGTTATTTTCACATTCGCAGAACTGTAATGTAACTGTAAATTGATTGAAAGTTTGGGATTTGAATATCAGAATTCCAATCTTTTCTAGAGGGATTCCAGATTCCCCTAGGAGGATTCCAATCTCCCCTAGGGGAGATTAGAATCACAATCTCCCTTAGGAGGATTCCAGATAGGAATTCTAATCTCCCCTAGGAGAATTCTGGATTCCCCTGGATTTCAATCTCCCCTGTGACATATACATTCATATTCAGATCTTACTTCGCCTAATTACCTACACAGATAAAAACTGCACTGGAGGCCAAAGGTTACCAAATATGGATGGACATTGATCAGATGGGCGGTTCCACTCTTGACGCCATGGCGGGGGCGGTGGAGGGTGCAGCTGTGGTGCTCATCTGTATGTCCCGCAAGTACAAGGAGAGCGCCAACTGTAGGAGAGGTACGTGATAGTATTAGTGATATGTCCGTCGGATGATATTAACAATACTACTCATGATGTCTTAGCCTTCCATTTCTTATTGAATAGTATAATCACGTAAATAAGTTCATCAGTATGAGGTCTTAGTATACAGTATATAAAGCTACCACATACTCCACACTTATAGCATAAATGTAATAAAGTACACTGACTCCATTAAATCGATCTGTCATATCAAGCTTTGTTATATTCTTTATGTTACAATATGTGTCCTACCTGCAACATGTTATTTTTCTGTTTTCTTACGTTGTTATATAAAGATGCTATCGTCAGTGACGAATGAGAAACTAGAAGCTACATGCCTGCAGTTTAATTCTTTCTACTCTGGGGGTGTCAATGGGCGTGCAATCGAGTCTAAGTCTTTCTCATCTTTTGAATTTGGGACTGCATGTACGCCCAACAATTATACCGAACACAGTTATTTGTATACGTAACAACCTTATTGACAACGCGTATATCCATACTATTACTACGACTTGCATATCAATGGACTCCGAGGTACACTGTATTCGAAAACATTGAGTGCTTGTAGACGCCCTTGATGTATACCAAAGAAGAAGCTACAGTGTACACATAAAAAGAGATATCATTGCTTTTACCCACAGAGGCCAGCTACACTGCTGACAAGAAGAAAACAATCATCCCACTTGTGATGGAGAGTGGGTACAGGGCTGACGGATGGCTGGGGGTACTTGTGGCCAGCCTGCTTTATTTTGACTTTTCTGACAAGGACCGTTTTGACACCGTGATTGTGGCCCTTATGAAAGAAATAGGTACTATCTGTGATTTCTTGTTTATCGGACAGGTGCTGTAGCAGTCGATCATCAATCGATTTCAAATCACAAAATTGTCTTCATGTTAATGTTAACGTTTGCCACCGTTATGTTAACCATTGGCAAAGTTGTGCACAAAAATATTTGACTTTTTAAAGTGTACCATGTTATGAAAATCTCCCATTTCAGTAACGTCTTATTGTAGGACCAAGTCCTATGGTGCATGAGACTCAACAGAATACATTATATATTTATTTTATGTAGGTACTGCACTTTGTTGTGACATTTTAGCGAGGTTAAAACTAAATTCTAGCAGACATGCATGGATCAACTTGAGAGGAAGTGGGCTTAGTCCATGAAATGATATTAATTAGCTTACCTAATGCTAATTACAAATAAGGTTTAAGCGAGACATGCAGATGACTGTAGTTATCGTTTCAGACGTGGCTATAAAGAAGGCTTCTGAAAAGGTACCTAAAGCCACCCGTAAACCTAACGGACCAAAGCTTCAAGACAGGACACAGGCAAACGTTAAGGATATCGATGTCCGCAAGTGGATACAGGAGAACCAGCTTGAAGGGTAGAAACCAGTCACAATTTTGTTTGTTTTATTTGTGTGTGTGTGTGTGTGTGTGTGTGTGTGTGTGTGTGTGTTGTGTGTGTGTGTGTGTGTGTGTGTGTGTGTGTGTGTGTGTGTGTGTGTTCAGAGGGAACACATAAATCTATTGTGATGATTTGCTGTAATGCATTATCGATTAAAGATAATCAGCTACATTCTTTTTGCCTCAGGGATCTTGAGAAGTTGGAACCGGAGGACTTGGAATTCTTACAGATGATGAAGAATGAGGTAAATTTCAGACGTTGTTCTATTAGCCGTAATCTACATGGCGTTCATTACGACTCTAGCTTGCTTAGGATTTGGCCGTGTAACTCATTGCACCGTTAACGTAAGTGACTAGTTTATGAACGATGTGATTTTATTGTGTAACGTTTGATTACTTCAGTTTGGACACTACGAGATGAAAACGTGACATTATATCACTTTAAAGATGTGACTCAGCATTTGTAATTACTCTCCAAGTAGAGGTTGGTGGAGACGACTGTGACATTTCTATCAAGGCCCCCACTCTTTAGTAGAAAGAGAAAAATGGCCCTATGTTTTTTTTTGTCCTAACAGTATCCGTGCAGTCGCACGGATGAATTGATTCAGGGCATCACATAATAATCAATCCCAACAATCAAATAACACACATGATACACATATATGTCGCAAGGGTCTGTGCGGCTGCCATTCGGCGCCACAAGGTGACCTCAATACGACTTTCCCCGACCGAAGTTAGGTACCCTTTCACACCTAAGTGGAGTGAGGAAAGATGTAGTATAGTGCCTTTCTCAAGAGCACAACGTCGGGCGCATGTCCAGACATGTCCCGGGTACAACTCGGGATCGAACCCGGGTCTCCTCGCTTCATAGTCGAAAGCTCTGCCAGATAGAAAGGTCACAGTCGTCCCCACCAACTTCTCCTTGAATGGTACTTGCACTAACCTGTATTTGTGCCCTTGTTTCACAACCGTTATAGTCTCCTGACGAGTTCTATAAGTCACTAGTGGACGAACTGGGACTGAAGACCATCTCCAGCAAGAGAAAGTTCACTAAGGCATTGGAAAACCTGGGGTAGGCAAGACAGGTTTATTCCTAATAATCAAAAGATTCTCCTGCTGTTGTTCGCAACCTAAAAAATGGTGCATAATATGAACAAATTGGCTTCATTATATCTTATTTGCAAAGTCAGTAGTTGTCTGTTGACGGGAGTGTTGAATCCTTTTGCTTGATTTTCGTTTGATGTATATCTGTATTCTTACAGCACAAATGGAACTTTTGTATCATCTACTGCCAGACAAAATTTATTATAGTCAATCGTAGACAAAAGGAATGACAACATAGTCAACTAAACACAATAAACCATTTTGCTTGTATTGTGGTGTTGCGATAGGGAATAAATAGTTACTGATTTTGAAGTAAATCTGTGTTGATCATATAAAGATCTATAATAGTCCGATGTGTTTGAACCAGCACCATTCTACAGTTTGTTATAAAATTTTTAGAGGTTTGGCAATATTGCACATTTAAAGTGGCCTTCTTGGCTTGTCTTATATCAAACAGGTAGACCATGCTTTACTAAGAGACCTATTCGTATAGTAATACATCATATTTTTATCAGCCATATCTTAATCAAGACATTAAGTACCAGTACGCATATACTAAGTAATCGTCTGTCAAATGCTTCATATTACAAGCTTGAATCCTTATACAATATTTACACTTAATATAGATACAGTTTGAATAGATTACTACATATATTATAAATGATACGTATGAGAGCATTATAGTAACGTTACATTTTTTAAACATTCTGGTATTTCTCAGCAGGAAGGTTTCCCTGCAGAACATTAGAGGGTATGTAGCTACAGATCTGGTGTAAAAGGCAAATTTAAACAGGTTTTTATATTTAATTCTCCATTAAATATATGTTCATAATATTAGTACATGTAAGCTTTTCTTATGCCGATATTCGAGCTTAGGTTTTTCTCTCAATAAAGTGCAGCGTTAAATTGCAGTCTCCATCAGATTTCGTTTATTTGCTACTGGGCTGACCAGACAGTGCGATTGTGAAAGTTTTGATCTATGCGCCGATGTATACCACCTGTGTGTCCCGCCAGTCATAAATTAGGGCATGACAGCAAGTCGTCAAGACGTATCGGGCCTGCGTGAAACCCAGATTTTTCACGGTTTTCGTTGGATGTTTGGTTAACGTTGCATCATGATTTAGCGTGTTACAGACGATATCTTTTCCGACACAATATTTGAAAACTATAAACGGAATGTCGACCTTGTGTAGGCAAAGACGACCTGAAATGCAATTTTTCTGCCGAAGTGCACAATAAATACATTACTGTGTCCTTTTGATTCTGCATGCACTTTTATTACCATTATAGAAGAACATATAACATGAAATATGAATATAGAATCGTCCACCCATCTAAAATTTCCCACCAACATGATTAAGCCTCCATTTATTCGTTCCACCTTGACCTGGGAGGTTACACGGCCTTCAAATCCTTGCCTCGACTTGACAGATTTATGTTCCTGTTTACAAAAGGTAAGGTGACCCTTTGATTCATCAGGTGACCTGCGCAGCGTTGCATATGATCAAAGGCTTTACCGTCGGTTAAAAAAACACCACAGCCTGGATTTTGTCATAAGTCAAAAGAATAAAAGATTTACACTGACTCATTCTGTGGCCTGATTGGCCTGCATACAACTGTATGTTGTCAACTCATGTTTACTGTATGTAACATTAACTAACAATGTCTTGTCGTGTAATTTTGCTGGGCCCCCTTGGAAAACAGCTAATTCAAACTGCGTGGGGTACCCAGCCGTCTTATGATGAAATAAATATGCCCCAACAAGCATCTACATGTATATACCAGCCTTTTTGCACACTTGTGTGTTCTTCGATGGCCCAGAACGACAAGCTGTGTTGATAGCGCCGTCTACACGAACACGTGCCTTGTTTACAAAAATGCCTGCGTCGTCTAAGCAAACACCTGCGTCTAGGGAATTCTATGAGTCTATGGAATACCTGCTCCTCCTATGAAATACCTGCTTCTCCTCACCTCACCGCTTTCCAGTTCATTGACAAATACACCAACGCATTTTCCTTTACAATAAAGAAATTTGTCATAAACAAGCTGACCAAACTCAAAGTAAGGAAAGCCACTGGACTAATTTGGACAATAGGTTCCTAAAAGTGGGAACACATACCCCCCCCCCCACACACACACACACAA